ACATGACCGGAAGGACCTGTCGTAAAGTACTCAGATGAAGCTGTAAACGCCGACACTTAATCGCTACCGTTGCCCGTCTCTTGGCTACCAGTAGTAAGTCACAGCTTACACACAACGTGGATACCCCATAGGAGTCCCCGAACTCGCCTCCAGCCAACGTTGGCCCGCAAACGCGAGCTTATTAACTTTCTTGATGTAAGCGTATTATTTTAGCGGTTAACACTACAAGTCAGTGTCAACAGAAATGTTACCGGTTTGCTTGCTGATTTAAATGTGAATTTTAAGCAAAAGGGCAGTCCTAAAAGAAAAATGAGGAGGTTGTTTTAGTAGCTCATAGCAGACTGAATAAGCCGATGTTATATTAGGCTGATGAGGCTTCAATACTGAGGGCTGCTGTTCATGAGGGTGAGAATCGAAAAAAAGGTCAGGATGCAAGATGTGCGTACTCTAAAAATCTCAGAGAAACATGTGTTCTCATGTTCGCAAGAGGAAGTAAATCACAACAAGTGCGTCAAGGAACACGACTGGAGCGGAAGAAAGCTTGATAGGGCGTATTAGCAAAAAGAGTTTGATGCATCTGTAACGAATGCAGTTGTCATCGCGCTGGTTAGATTTAACTCACCTGCTGCTTCTTCTTCTTTTTCTTTTTCTCCTAGGATCACATTTGATGAAATAGAGTTAAAATGACAGTAGAACGTTTCAGGAAGGGCGTGTTAACCACACAGAGAGAGAATGGACAAGGTCCACATGGAAGTATAGACAGGCCATTTGGCAAATTTAGGCAACGCTCGAAAACGAAGCACTCCAGGTCCTCCACCCGAACCATTTGTCTGAACTTGAGGGTGAGCGTAGCTTCGCTAGTGTACTTCAGCGTATTCATTCTGGCTTGTCATCTACATTTGATGAGTATAAAGTGGTAAAGCAGCATAACTCTTGTGACTAATTAGGACTTGGAATCAGGGTCATGTTTGCAAAATGTGAGTCGATTGCAAAACTAAAAAGCATACAGTGGTGAAGTCCAGTCCTTATCATTTAAAGCGGTTTTCCTTCAAATGAGCATTAAGTCCTGTAACGATTCTACAAAACTTCCCACTTTTCCACACGAAGCCTTTCCACTTATCATTTATCCTAGGATGTGCATATGTTACCCTAAACGTATGCAGTCAGTACGAACGTTATCTTCAGAACGGTCGAGTACTTTATTTATTCCGCACTTGGATAGGAGAAGACATACATTGAAATGGCAGATTAAAGAGATTTCTGCATATATATGTCAGCTAACCTCGCCGTCGCCGCTGCCCTTTGTCATCTGAAAGACGCCGGGAACAACAATATCCGGGTTCATTGGAACCATCTTTCTGTGCCAACGACGTCGGCGAACTGAATCAGTGGTCTTCTTTTGCGCATGGAATCTACTGGTAAAGTGCAGGGCATATTCCCAACCTTCCGCTGCAGCAGGCGTCATGCTGCTCTGAAACGAAGAAAGTTAAAAAAATACTTTGAGGAAGATTAATGCATTCAGAAACCCCATTGTAACAATGTGTGCCAGAAATCTCACAGAAAACTGGAAACATTTTCGAGTTTTGGAACAGGCTTAAACATTAATATTAGCTTCCAAACACGTCGGCTTGTATCTATTCCAAAAACGTCCCTCTTTTCTGTACCGTGAGGAGTTCGGGAAGATCGCAAAATTCCTTTAAACTGGAGCGTTTAAAATCCTTCTTATTTCGGTGTACATTAATGAGTACTTGATTCTAGTTGTTGATTCAAAACATTGCAGTCCTCGTTCATATACCTGTCTGAAGTAAAAGCGACAGAAAGTTCCTATGGAGGTAATAGTGATTGCCATTATTTGATTCTCCACATCTCAACTCATAAAAATGGCAAAACATATGCTCCCCTGATAATCCCTTTGAATACTTCAGTCTTATGAGTGTTCTTGGTTTTCAGAGAGGAATTCCGAATGCATGAGAACATAGATCTTTTACTTCCTCCTTCCGGAGGAAGCAGATAGGTAAACACTAACATGCGGACCCCTAACTACGTCTGACACGAGAAAAAGGTAGTCGAAAGACAACTGGTACGAGTGTTTCTGGCTAACTGTAATACTCTGGTGCGATTGTCTTCCTCATGCTTAAAGGGTAAATGCGTGTTTAATAACGCGGAGGAACGCCCAAGCCGGAAAACATATTCCAGTAAAAATAAATGCCAAAATACGAAAGCAAAAACGCGTATTTTGATTTACGAACGGTATGCACTGCATAATGAGGGCCTCGGTATGCCGGTACTTGCAAGTCCCCACAACTACCTTACTAATGACCTCCTGACAAGACGTTTAGCTCACCAGCGAGCTAAATATCAGAGGATTTGAGAACACCTGGCGTAAACTGAGATACCTTTGCATTGATGGCTTGTTCATTCACCGCAAAGGTCGGATGTGGATATTCAGGATGGCCACACGCCTCCTGCGACCTCCGTAGTTCTGATGTTTACCAAAATAACGTGAGATTAAGATTCCCCTAGGTCTTGCATAATTGGAGGAAAAAGTACGAACATATCGAGGTGATATGTTAAGCTGGTGACCGGTGGGGTGGGGCGGCGGCAATAGTTTCCCATTATTGGATTGATTGGAGCGCATCGTACCCAGGTAAATTGTCAGTACAAGTGAAAATGCGGGTCGGGGGGTAAGTAATTGAGCAGAATTAGATGCAACTGCTGAGCCAAGAACTTTATTCGCCCTACTTTTCGGATTCAGTTGTCGATCCAACATCAGAGACAGTAGCAGAAATGGGGAATCGGTGTTGCTGTGTCATTGAGGGACCAGACCAGTCACCGGCATTATCACCCTGTCCGTGCCTTGCGCGCATGTCTAAGAGATGCTTAGGCGCCACTGCAACGATCGGTGCCCTGGCCTCTATTGTTTTTATCAAGGCTTTCCTGCTGAGTGACTTTCCCGTTTTTCAGAAACCTTTTCTCCTGGACTTCGGGAAAACGTCCTTTCCCTTTCAAATCCTTAATAAGGTTCCGGTTATCTATCTTTCTACTTTCATATCATTCTTCTTTCTGAGATTCCACGTTTGGACAGTGTTAAATAAAACCGATTTATTCCATTTACCAGCTAGCCTTTTATCATGTGTCGTTTCCTCATTACGCCTGACCCTGTTCATGTTGAGATGAATGAACTTTTAGAAGGGATCCTCGAAGTAACCCTGAGGACTGAAGTTAAACCTCTACCATCCACTAGCATAAACCGGAAGCCCCT